ATCTATACCACATATATATATATATATATATTTGTTAGAATTCATTTTTACTTTCAGCTATATCATAATAAATACTGCTGCCACACATCTCCTTAAATGTCAATATGATTATTCCTCTACATTACCCAGTCCTAACCAACATACATGACAAACCCTAGAGGTTTTAGAAATGTGGTTGCTACGGTGACGCATCTCCCTGTACCTGAGAGGCAGCAGGATCCCGTAGCGGATCAGGAGGCCCAGCCACCACAGGACGGTCAGCCTCAGGCTGATGTAGTGAAAGTTGTTGTTGCTGCGAGTCAGGAGGTTCCAGGACTCCAGCTCCTCAGCAGAAAACCGCTTGGTCACCTCGTCGTCCATGATGCTCTCCACGCCTCGCCGAGCGAAGTAGAAGATGTCGGACATCTCGAACTCCGAGGCAGAGTCCAGGTCCTTGTTGCTGCCGCTCCGCCGGATCTCCTTGATCTCCTCCTCCAAGGAGGTGGGCTCCCTAGCGATTATAGCTACAGCGAGAGACAGGCAGACAGGCAGGCCACACGTCAACATTCACCTCTGGAGCAGACGCAGCTGCTGAAAACGTTTCCAAAACGAACCAAATTAAAACAAGACAGCCGCGATCGTATCTTACCATTGGAGTAAGGTTTGTACAGGTGGTGGTTTTTCTCTTTGGCTCCCCTCTCTATCCTAAGTGTAGCCCACTAGAAATGTAGAGCACAGGTTACATCAAAGTTTAGACGACACCCAGAAGCATTGGCATTTAGATCGAAAGGCAGTACAAGCACAGAGAGTAAATACAAAAAGTACTGAAACTGTGTTTGTTTTACTGTGCTGAAGTTGTTTATTTTCCTGTTCAGTTGACACTAGATGAACGGATGAGGTTAGCTGGACTGGAAGGCAGGCAATATTTTATTTTTATTTTGTCTTTATTTAACCAGGGAATATCTCAGAGAAACTAAAAACCTCTTTTCTAATTCAGACCCGGTGAAGGAATTTGTAGACCGACTTCTACGCAAGGACTGCTCAATGTTATTGCTAAGTGTGCCAATTAATTAACCTCCAGATGAATGAATGAGTGTTTGAAATTCAACATTTGTTGGTCATGAAAACACATCTTGCATGCTATGAAGACATTAAGAACATAAACATTTAATTTTTTTGACACTTTGTTGTCTGGAAAACCAATGTTTACATTAAACGGCTTGAGAAAAACTGCAAGAATCACCGTCATGGAAATAAGTTACAGAAAACCTGATTTAAAATGTTAGGTCCTGATTTCAATCCCAGCTCTAACCACAAGATAATGAATTAACACCTAAGAAGAACTGGAAAAAGCTGGCCATTCCAAGTGCACGCCAAATCAAACAAAATGCACGACGAGAAGAGAACAGGGTGTTCCCAAAGGCCAGCAGGCGAGTAGGAAAGGATCAGGAAGTATGGACCGGGATACGGTGCCTGAGTTTTATTTAGCCAACAATCCACCATGACACTAACACGGCACATGATAAGTTCAGAGTATGAAGGCTGGAGTCAAAGACATGGTACTGCATGGAAGCTGCCTGTGTCCAAACACCTTAACGTTACTACCGCTGGGATCTGGAGTTTGTTTGTCAAACACGGGAAATTCAAAGAAGGTTGAACTTCTTCTGTCTCTTTATGTAAAATAGTAATAATAATTAAAAAAAAACAACATTAACTGACATTTTGAAATCATTTTGGAAAAAAAAAATTAAGTTTGCGGTTTTCCATGTGCAAGAACCAATTATCCATAGTTGAGACACGGCATTGGCCAATGAAGCTTACCTATTGCTTTCTGTCAGAGCAACCTTTAAAATGTGTTGCAACAAGCTGTGGTACCGACTCATCCTTTAAAAATGCAGCAACAGGGATTCTTGGCGTGAGCAAAAACAGAAACATCTGTCTAGGAACAGTGGAAACGGCTTAATGAATCCACCGTGACCTGTGGCAGCAAAAACTGCATGTGAACAAAGGAAACGCTGAGCTCTTCAAAACCTGCTGAACATCAGATTTGTCCTCACGCGTTGAATCTTAAAACGGATAACTAAAAAAAATTGATCATTGTTTTATTAAGTTAAAAGTTAAGCACAAACTTCAGAACCTTTCATATGGCATTTGTGTTTCGACCATTTTTTCCATGAAGGCATCTCAATACTTGTCATTTCTTTCTGCTCTACAGGTGATGCTACAACAGAGTAGAGAATAAATGAAACACTGTTGTTGCCACATCGCGCTATAAACTGGGAAAAATAAGTAAGCACTGGAGCCACATCAGTTAATGATATAGGTCTGCAGCATAATTTCCCGCTGGTTACATAACAGCGGAAGGTCACTTAGTAGGGCTGCTGTTAATCTGCATCAGCCAGTTAATGCAACACCCACTGGTTGGACACTAAACACAGCCCTGAAACAGCTTGAGCTGAGCTCAGGTTAGATTGGATTCCCTGAAAAAACGCTTCCTAAAATGTACAATGATGGGACTAAATGTATAGGTTTACTAGAGACGTATAAAGAAAACAGCTTGATTGTTTTATCGACAGTCAGTGAACGCATCGTAGCTACTTGTTAATTTGTTGTGCTGACACTATTTGAGTGTGGAAGTTTATTTTATTGTTTCACATTCTTGTCCAGACCTGGATTATGATCAAATAAAACTCCCAATGTTTTTCACACTGCAAAAATGATCCTTAAGACAAGATGCTCAGTTTAAAACTTTAACTGTGTAATCATTTTATTTGAAATGACAGTGGAGGTGTGTCACTGCAGAGCTGTGTAACATCCACTGCTCTCTCACTTCTTAACGCTCCTGCAGTGTTTCAATAAACACCCTACTGATTTAACACAGAGCTGTAAACTAGAACTTTTCTTTCCAATATTGATATACAAAGAGAAAATATGAAGCAATGAAATTTAATATTTCCAGATATGGTCTGGTAATCTCTGATAATTTCTGTAGTTTTGTATTTCTTGAAATAAATTTAGCTCTTAAAGAAAAACCATGCTCAAAGCAAGAACTCAATATCTATATTCAGACAAAAAAATAAATAAAATAATTGGCAGATGGAACAAACTCAGCATAACTCCAGGTTACAAAACCTCGATGTCGATGAGTTTTGTGTGTGTGCTGTGGTCAGCTTATCATCTTTATTTATGACTGCAGCGTCATGTTCAACTAAACACTTGATTCATTGAACAAGCAAAGAAAAGCAGATCGAAAGGCAGCGAGCTCTTACCTCAAAGATCTTCAACAAAGTCTTCATGTAAAGCCGCCTGATGCCAAACGACACCCCAAAAATGGCCGGAACAATAATGAAAACCAGAAGCAGGGTGAACCATACGGTGAAGGAGATGCCCAGCAGAATGCACAGCAAATTATCAAAAGGGTTGAAGAAGAGCTCCATCCTGACGTAAGAAGGGGCTATTATTAATATTTATATATAAATATATATATATTTTTTTTAAGTTAGAGATTAGAGTTCCTGTAAGTGCAGGTCTCCACAGTCTGGACCCAAGAGGCCCGGTGGGGATTTGTCACGAAAATGCCCTCATTGATATCACCAGAGAACAGGGCTTCTCCAGACATTTACTGAAAAATCAATCCAAAAGCAACCAGACATCTTCACCCTGCCCCTTAGGGCATTTTTCCCAGATTTCATTGGTCTACTAAAAACTGGGATGAGTTCAAAGTCTAACAAAAAAGAAGAGAACGAGAGTAAGAGAGCGAGAGAGAAAAAAAATATCCGTGTCCTGTCCTTGCTGCAGATGTCCTTTTGGTATTTCAGAGAGAATGAATTCCCGCTGACGACACAATACAACAAAAACAACTGGGCTCGGCAGGTGTTTCCCTCGTCTGTTGGAAGATCCGGGGTCTCCGCTGCTGGGTGACAACCTGCAAAGATGTGCAAACAAACCATCAGGGCTATCTGTGCAACAGTGTAACGTCCCTTTCCGACTGAATGCTGACGAGTAATGTAATAATGCAACGCAGACAACGTGTCCTTGTGTACACTTCTGTAATACCGGTTTTCAGCCCCTCATGCTAGCTTCCGGCTTTTCTTAAAAGACACTTACTGCAAGTACTTTCGCGCAATGTTTACAACCATGTATGCCTTTTCTGTAATGGGCCCGATAACATAATCAGACATTCGCTGTGTAATGTTGGCTGCGGCGAGGAGATAATATTAGCTGTAGGGAGGCCCATCATCAGGAATTCATGATAAAGCAGGACGGCTAACAACCGCTGTCTCTTTAAATCCACTCTGGAGCTTTACACATATATCCATATCCCTACGTTTAATAAGGTTAAACATCTGTGTTAATATAACCTCCGGAAGCCAGTCATAAATGATCCCCGATGCTGAAGTTAGCTGTGAGCCAGAGCGCTAGCAGTTAGCCCGCTGTCATCCCTCAGCAGAGAGGTTTGAGAGCACTGAACATGCTGAGCCAACCTTTCACGGGATTTAAAACAACTACATGGCGCTCCGTGTATTAATAACTCAGCTGTGAAATACATGGGTGAGGCTGAATGGTACCTATATCTGACCAACCTTCAGTCACTGTGCCGACACAGCACGGCTTCCCCCTTCCATCCCTCTCCGCCTTTGTCTCGCTGTCCGCGGCCAAACTCCACCCGCCGGACACCACGAGCGATCAGCGGGCGACCAGACCAGAGGCATCAGCCTACACAGGACAGAAGAGCTCCGAGCAAATCCCTAACAGGAAAATCTACATTGACACCTGGTGGCCGAAGTGAGCTATTGCAGCAAGCTTTAAGAAAAAGTAAACGCTTGTAAAATTTGGGCAGCGTTTCTGGAGGTCCAAAAATGGCACAATTAAAAACCAAAAAAGAAATATGCCAAATTAGATATGAATCTATATAGCATGGTAATAAATTAGAGTGTAATTGAAAAGTTAATTCATGCCACTAGATTGGTGCAAAAATTGAAACTCGTGTCAAAATCTTAACTCTAAATTGAAATTCATAATTTCATAACAAGTACTGTGGTCATTAAAACAAGTTTGGATATTTTTGGCAGTGTGCCAAGTTCTAGGAAATTAGCTTCTCCATAAAGCTTGTCAGCAGACATTAGCATGAAGGCTGAAAAATAAAATATATTGCTGCTTTGACTTTTGACTTTATAAAACAATGGGCCAACACTAGCATCTAACATGGCTCTCCAAATCACAGTGGGAATTTCTCACGGGATACATCTGTTTGGTATATCTTGAAGCATCGACTCCAGCTGGAGTCCACACTGAAACTCTTGCATGTGGTTTGCTCCAATCCTCTCAGGATATGGTTATCCCTGTGCTGTACATTCTTTTAACCAAACTTTCTCTCCTCACTCAACTTCACAATAAGTCACATCGAGCCCCAATGTGCCTCAATGTGACACTTTGTGAAAAGACAGAAGACTGTTTGTTGCTTATCCTCATTGTTTAGTCTGCTGGACAACTGTCAATGCCATGACATTTCCATAGTAAAACACAGTATTTTTTTTTTTTCATTGGTGTTATGCAAGACATATGAAGACATTTTCTACTCATAAAAGCAAACAGGAAAAAAAATGCAGAAAGTAGTGTAAATGATCTAAATATGCATTTGACTTTATTTTGGAATTACCAAACGAGTTTTGCAGCAGAGGACACTTGCTACACAATGTAAACATTTTTTCCTACAATTGGTTTAGGACTTTAGAGAGCATGAATCTATATTTCATATTTGGCAACTTGAAATTTTTCATCTTGAATAGGTAACGAAAAAAAAAAATGATGAAAACCAAATATACCGGAAGTAATTCTGTAATCCGAGTGAACCAGACTTTAAAAAAAAAATGATTTACTAGAGTAGGGATACTCTGTTTTTATTCACACATTTATATCCATGTAGAATTTTGTCAACTAATTTTACACAAACAGCAACAAAACTTGGCACTCCAGCCTCAAACCACCACCCATCATATTCATAATGAAAAAAAAAACCTATAATATGCATAATTGATATATATCAAAGCAATTTTAGCAGCTCTGGAAACACAAAAGGCAATCATAGTAAAACTATCAGCATAGTTTATTTAGAGATGGGGGTCGTAGTTTTTGTTTTATTAAATACTAGTGCATCTAACGCATCAGAGGTAACTGGGAGCCCCTCTGCCTGGGCGAGCATCATGTCTTGCTCTCCAGCAGAGACTCAAAGTCTGGAGAGCAGACCATTTTGTGTCTGACGTTCCCCAACACCGTCAGGTTTCCCGTTTTTTCTCCTGTCTGAACAGAAACCAGCTCCTGAGAAGAGAAGCAGCAGCAGAGAAGACAGTATTTAGGATTGATTTTATAAACATATGTTAAAGTAGCACAAATCAGATCAATGATGACAAAGTATCATACCTGAAGGAAAGAGCACGACGTCCCTAGAGACACGTCAAGGGTGACTTGTCCCAGTATGAGCTGCACCCGGCCAGACTTCCGGACCAGCATCTTCCCAACAACTCCCTCCCTCAGATCCTTCAGATTGCAGCTGTTGTCTTCAGCTTCCTCTTCCTGCAACAAACAAATGAAGTCATTATATGCCTCCTATGCATTCCCACCGGTTGAAATGTCACCGCCTGCCTTCGTCCACCTGCGACTCCGTCTTCAGAAGCACGGACTGCCCGTCCTCCGACTGCACCTCGGTTTTCACCGTCTTGTGCTCCTTGGTGGGAGGCTGGCCGGGCAGCGAGTCGGGCAGCTGGATGAAGAACAGCTCCTCCGCTTTGCTCAGGCTCCATCTGTGCAGCAGGTCAGGGAGAACTTCAGGCTCAGGGAGAGGAGGAGGTTTGAAAGTGGCCTCAACCTTTTTTATCTCCACTTCCTCTTCCTCTTGTTTCACTGTTAAGACAGAATCTTTATGGCGGACAGAAACGAGGCTTACATGTGATTTATCGCGTCGAGGAGTTAGAAAAGCTACCGGACATGGATGCTGCCACATCATTCGGAGCATGTGTTTTCATCCCGCATTATATAGAACCACCTTTCAGTGAAATTACAACTCTAAGATGTTTCCAGAGACTGAAATGTTTGTGTTCATTTGTCTTTTAAAAATAGCTCAAGCTTCTGGGGATGTTGTGTTCAGGGTGAAATGCAGCGTTAATTGTACACCACACACAATGGTTTCAAAAGCTTTTGGGCTCATCTCCACACTGTAGGCGGGGGAAAATAATACATAAACTTTAAGAAAATCATGTTTTATTTTACTCTGACTTCACAATTATGCACCCCATGTGTCGGTCTGTTATACAGCTGCAAATTCAAAATGGTGTGAGTGTTTTTTCAAGGCGCTGTTATTCTGAAGCTACCTTCAACTGAAGACTCCATGGGCTCATCTGGGTCTGGCTTTTCTACTTTAATGGCTGAGCTGTTAAACTCCTCCATGAATCCCCACCCTGACACAGCCAGGGGGAGCTGGACGGGGCAGCTCCTCTGCTCGCTCCTCAGGAATGGGTCATCTATAAACTAAATGAAAGGAAATAAATCAGCAAGCAAACATTCACACAGCATGTAAACCTAAAGCGCACAAACAGATGTCTGACAGCCAAAAAAACCCGCACGTTTTCTCGCTCCAGTTTGCGAAGAATCTCTTTGGTTTCCTCTTCGGTCTCCCTCTTCTCCTTTTTGATATTGATGATGGGCGAGGGTCCCATGCTCGGAGCGTCTCTTTCACTCTCGTAGCCCCCTGTGTGTGACGACGGGGTTTATATGCACTGATGTGAAACACTGAAGCGTGATTTCGTGAGCAGCTGCTTCTCTAGCTCGAGGCCCACCTCTTCTTTTCATCATCGTCTCTCCAGGCCCCTGTTCAAAGATGGAGTGAGACTGGATGACCTCGCTGCGACCTCGGCCCCTGCCTCTTTCCCCGTGGCCCCTGCCCCGACCTCGATCTCCATCCCTCCTCTCTCGCCTTGGCACACCTTCGACCTTTGGTCTGTCGCATCAGAAACAGAGATTATTACCAAGCAGTCTCAGAAAAATAAAAATAAAAATCAGATGTGTGCAAATATTTTTATTTTTTTCGTTTTAAATGCTCCCATGAACTCACTCTTCTTTAACTTTTCGGCCAATGATGTTGGGGGTAAAGGTTTTCTAAAAAAGGAGGAAAACAAAGAAATGTGTTAGAGATCTGGCACTTATAAATATGTTGTCAATCACTATTATTAGCAATATTTCAAGTATATTTAAATTACAGGTAAATCACATTTATGTCACTAAACAGAAAATTCCCAGCTTTAGTTTCACAACCAAATTGGAGGAAAGGTGATAAATAAGCAGTGTTTTTTTTCTACAAATTATACTACAACAGTATAATTGACAAATAGAAGAAAAAGAATATAGACGTGTTTTCTTTTTTTTTTTTTAACTCATATAATGCCTCTATTAAATAAGATGCTGTAAAGTGCTGCAGCAACTTCACTGGACTAGTTAGATTTTCAGCTACTTCCATCTACTATCATATCACCAATATGTCAATGGAGACCCTGCATGTTCATAGCCCACTACATTTCCTTATGTTATATAGATTGTAATAAAAGACATCTTTTCACTCAGATAACATGTAGAAAGAACAAATACTGAGCCAATTAAAATATTACTGCATCTTTTTTTTATATTCCAATATAAGGCTAAACTTAATTTGCTCACATTATAATAACAATTAAAATGTACAGAGAAATCATCTGCTTAACGGAATCAGCAATATTTTCAATTTGATCATCTCCCACTGCTAATCAGCTAGTTTAGAAACTCAAAAATCTGATCGTTTTTGATCACCGAATGCCCCAAGTCTAAGTGCTACCAGACTGGGTGACTGGAGCAGTCTTCAGTGTGCCAGTTGGTGTTAAGTTGAGCAAACTCAAAGTTAGATATTTCTAGTATCAGTGATTTAAAAGATAACAGTGTTTTCTGACACAAGTCAAGACATGTCAGGCTGCGAGAGAGATCAAGATTTTCAGCAGCTTACATTAAGGCTGAGACAAGTTGCTCGGTTCTATCTCTGTATGATAAAAGGTTTCCTCCCATTTGCCTAATTAGAAATGGAAAAAGAAAAACTACCTTCTTTACTCCTCCTAGCGTTAGGTCTCTGGATCGCACCGACGGTAGGCGTCCAGAAGAGATGCCAGCTGCTGGTCGGCGACTCATCAGAGATCCTATGCTCCCTCTGCCTCCAGGGGCTGGAGCCTGCTGACCGCTGTGGTCACCCGAGTCTGCCATCCTGATCTGCAGAGAGATCTAACAGATAAACACCCTGTAAGTGTGGAACTAACAACTATAAAATACAAACATGTGACATTTATTTACGATTTGCACTTGGTACTATCTGAAGAGTAACATGAGCTGGAACCCACAAAGTGCTGCCCTGAAAAGGTGCAGCTTCCTTAATACTACGGGCACAGCTAGGCTGTGTTAAAGGCTATGTTGAAAAATGAGACAGAGAGCCAACACCCAGTTCAGTTTAGTTTAGTTTTCTTTCCAGTGTGACCAGTTTCACCTTTAACTCCACATAGCTGGTTTTAAATACCATGGGATAAACTTTTAATTCTGAAAAATGTACTTCTCCCCGAATTGATTTTATGTGACTCTTTTAAACATTTATTTTTCATGTAATTTTAGGGTCCAATAGATTGTAGATGTAAACCTTATCCACAGATGTTGTAAGTAAGGCACTTTTA